TTATAAGATTTGTTATACATTGTTATAATTAAAAGTGTATGTACATCTATATATAAGCTACAAAGTATGAATGAGATTCAGATATGTATCATGTAATATATTGGTATCTGTCCGTAAATTTACTGTGTTACTTGTATGGGCTATTAACATCGATTCTGCAATACTTCTTTTAAATAAATCTTGTTCATAATATAAAATGTGCGGATTATTGAAATCGAAACTATGGCTGTTAGAGATAGCGTGGTCTACAAGTGTACTTTTTTGTTGTATGTTATTATTCTTACTTTGTTTGCTTTGTAATTCGTGCTGTCTTAATCTTTTTTCTAAATTTTGACATGTTTGCCCAATATAAGATGACTCACAGTTCAAACAGTTTATTTTGTACACCACATCTTTTCTTTTTTTAGTAGGTGTATTGTCTTTAATGTTTGTGTATATGTCTTGCAGTTGTAGTAAGGGTGACACGGATATGTTAATAATATGTTTATTAAAAAGCCTTTTAGATAAAAGGTGTAAATCTTTGTCTATATAAGGAAAATTCACAAAACATTTATTTTCTGAAACAGACAAGTGATTTGAGCAATGTGTGGTTATTGATTGTTTGTCTAATAAAAATTTAATTCTATTTTTAATTATTGGACTGATTATTTTGTAAGGGAAACTATTCATGAGTAATGTGTTAATGAATTGAAAGCTAATCGAATTCATTGTCTGAATGAATATTCAGACAATGAATTCGATTAGCTTTCTAGACATCAGACTCATACGTACAAATGACCACCGACTAATTACTAACTGGTACCAGAAACCAACTAGCTCCGGACGATACATAAATTACCACTCATACCACCCTCTTAAAATGAAAATTGCGACAATAATAAATTTAACAGACCACGCCATATTACTATCTGACAAAAACTTCTGGGACACGAACATTGACCTGGTTATAAACACACTGAAAAACAACTCATATCCCACGAACATAATCAACTCGGTCATAAATAACAGACGCAGTTACATTTTTAACAAACAAAAAGACCTCATAGACCATAAAAAGCGCTTAGACTTAGAATCATATACTGGTGTCATTTGCCTACCGTACGTAAAAGATTTATATTTCTCGTGGAAAAAACTATTTCAACAATGTGGCATTCTGTTGGTATGTAATTGTGATGCAACCCTTAGTTCAATTTTTACACAAATGAAATCTAAGTTCAATTTTGACCGCCTCAGGAATTTAGTATATCAAATTAATTGCTCTAATTGCGAACTCTTTTATATTGGAGAAACTAGCCAAAACCTGAGTAAACGCCTTAATCAACACAAAAATAATTCAAAAAATCCTAAGCAATTTAAAACAATGTTAACTGAGCATATTAAAAATTTAAATCATAATATCGATTTTTTTAACCCTAAAATTTTACATTTTGAAGAGAATACAATTAAAAGAAGATTCGCTGAGGGGTTGTTTTTACAATTACATAACGACAGAGTCATAAATAAACGCAATGACAATACGGCCCTTATCGAAACGAACACGTGGTTTCTTAATAGCGTGTCAAAATTCCTTAAAAAATAACAAAATCCCATCGCCTTTTAAATTTTCCAAAAAATATCAACACATGCTAAAAACTGCTTTGAGAAAAATGTGACATTTCTATCCTAAACTCCAAAGAGTAAATACATAGTTTCGACAACTTGTTAAGTTATCATGATTATTAGTGTGTTTTACCATTTGTGATGTTTGTGTTAAAAAATATATATCTTATCAATGTGCACATACTCATACCATGGATTAATAATGGTTTCATATGCTATATTAGGATACAAAATTGTAAGTGTTTTATTACTATTATTATTATTATTGTTTTTCCACAAAATTTCCTTTCATATAATTTATTTAGTTTCAATTTTTATAGTTAACTTGATTACCACTGAATGATGGCTAAGATGCTAGCCGAAACGTATGGATTTTAAATAAATAAATTTTTTAAAAAAAACTCATACTATTTTTATTGATGTTACGCCCGATTATTAAACTCAAATTAAACATATATATCAACATCAAATTCAAGACTATTCAAAAATATATATATATATATATATATATATATGAGTAAGTTCTTCAAGGGCATACATCAAATCAGCAAAAAACAGAAAAATATTTGAATTATTTTATTTCTAGATCTTATTCGCTTAATTTAACATTGAAAATATTTATTTATTAGAAAGAATGTGGTCAAATTCAAAGTGCTGTCATATATGAACAGATTTGATACTACGGCAAAGCAGCAAAGACTTTGAAGCGGCCGTACTCTCAAATTATCAATTTTACAAAAAACGGTTTTCCAAAGAATTGTAGGAAATTTTATCTAGTTTAATTCGTACATAGATACTTTTATCGTACGATCAGCCAGAAAGGAGATATTTTTAAAAAGCTGTTTTTTGACGCCATTTTTCCAACTTGCCGTTCAAATTAGAAGTGGCAAAGTTGATTTTCGTAAAGAGCACCTCAAAATCTATATGATTACCAATTTTCAGAATTCCCGGAGTACTGTACCGGCAACGGCCTTTTTTTGCACCAAATCACTGGACTATAAGTATAATAAAAATAACCAGTATTGATATTTTAACAAAAAAATCCCAAAAATTTATACAGTAATATTAATACCAAAATGTTCACAAGGTATAGAAAAGTAAAGATATGCAAAAATATTTATTTTAGTATTTTTGAAGTAAAACTTCTTTAGGCGCGACATGGGTGTAAATCCGTACAAATGCAACAGAAATTGCCAACGTGAAGTGAGAGTCATTCGCTCTCGATAATATGATTTCTATACGGGTCGATTCTGATTGGTCGTATTTGTACGAGGCTTCTTGTAATGCGTGACTTTATACGTGCGTACGTCACCGAAAGCGTGAAGCATATAGTTCATCTTCCGGTGTTATGTCAAATAGTTTAAGGCTAAATAGTAGTATAATTCGTGAGTTTATAAAAATGTCTGAATCGGAAGAATATATTATCCCGTCCCCCATAAATAATTGTAGTGCAAATATTGAAAAACCAGTCCCGCGTAAGAAACGTAAGTTTATTGAAGTAATTTGTATTATTCGAGTTTTTCGAGGTTACTTTATACCTTTGAGGTTATTACTAAAATGGAAATTTTTTTTGTAGACAAGACAGATACCACAGTTACTCAAAGAATGAAATTGTATCGGCAGCGAAATAGTCAAAACAAACAAGCAGTTAATAAACGTATGTTAATTTCAATTACATGAAATTCTACAAACACAATTACATGATAAGTGAAATTGTGAAAGCAATATTTCTTTATTGGAAATTTAGAGAAAGTTTACATGTTTCTCTTTTATAATGGCTATGGAGACTAATTTTAATTTATTATAATAGTAATTAATAGTAATTATAAATATTGATGCAGGTTCAAAGCCTATTACAAACTCTGAAAGATCAAGATTACATCGTCAAAGAAAACAACTGCAGGAAAATACATCGGTTACTGCCAATTTATTAGAAAATCTTGAGCCAGGTATCAATTTAGATGTTGATGTCAACACCATTGACGTAAGTAAGAATCTTTTTTTGCTATTTGACTCCTGAAAAGCGTAACTATTCACATTTAAACATATTATTCTGTTATCTTTTTAGATGAAAGTACTGCTGTTACTTTTTCTGATACAGCAACTACATCACATCAATTGCAAATTGATGATTCTGTATATAATGTGACTAATAATGTGACAAGAACTGATCTTTTGCAAGAGTCAAATGAAGCATTTGAACTTCCATATAAAGACTTCAATTTGTTTAGGAATGCACGAAAATTGTTCGAAAAACAATTTACAAATGATAGCTTTGGCTATGTATGTTTTGTATGTGATAGACTTTGATTTCAAAGTGACTTAAAAATATCAAATGATGCTCAAAAACAAATTCTTAATACTGTTGTTTTGAATATTGATTCAAATAAGCAGGTTGGATGTCAAACTTGTCGAAAGGTATTAAATTCGGGTAAAATTCCCACTTTGTGTAAATTTAACGGGTTTGTATTTCCACCTACACCAAATTATCCACCTAAACTAAATACTGTATCTGAAAGGTTAATTTCACCTAGGTTGTGTTTCATGAAAATTAGACGATTGCGGCATGCAAATAGACAATTTGGAATATTTGGCCAAATTATAAATGTGCCTGTTGACGTTAATAATATGATTAATTTATTACATCGTAATATTGATGATGATCATTGCATTAACATTCACATAAAAAAGAAAATGATTCATAGATCAAGCTATGTGCAGGGCTTGATGAATAAAACAAATATAAAAGTATGGCTTCAAGCTTTTTTAGGCATGTCAGATATTACAGCTGTTCAAAGAATGAGATTATATCTCTAGTGAAAAAGTAAAAAAAGTACAAACAGTAAATGAATGTATGTCAATTTTAATTACATGAAGTTCTTCAAACACAATTATTACATGATGAGTGAAGTTACAAAAAAAATATTTGTTTAGGCGTTGTTTAACATAATCCACTGTGTGAACGAATATTATAGAATTTATTAATCAGCAATTACTTTAAACCTATCATGTCATATTTCAAGTATGACTTTGATTATATTATTGTTTGTAAATATTATACATATTTTTAATGCAATCATAAATATATAATTTATAATTTAACATTATATAAATGTGTATAATGGTAATGGTCGACACTAATAAATGTGTGCATCGCGAGTGTTACCATATTACTAATAAACATTATTCAAAATTGTTATATGATGTATTTATTTTTACTTAACTTAAAATTGCTACTTTGTACTGTAGCAAATAAGTTTTAGTTCAATCGCGTGTGATCCTTACGCGCACTCTTTTTTTAACTTTCCGAAGTATATTAATTTGCGATTACTATAACTTACCCTTACCAAAAGTAAATAAAAACTCGTACATACGGTTTTAAATGCATAATATATACATACTTTTCCGTGCAAATACATCAGGCCTAAACCACTTTGACCAATAGGGTTACCCGCATCTGCTGCACGGCGAAAATACTTAAGAGCGGTTTCGTTATCGGCGGGAACGCCGCCACCTCCCTCTAGATAGATCTTGCCTAAGAAAGCCATTGCCAACGCATTGCCTGGAATACATATAAGCTTTTCTAGAGATTATATTAGATATCTGTTAAATCTAAGATAAAAATAACAATGCATATAATAAAACAATTAAATAACGTATAGCTAATAATTATATTTAAGTCTCGCAAATTAAATTGAATGTTTTTGCGTGGTCCTATGCGGCTTAACCCCGCTCTGCTCTATATATTTATGTATATGAGATTTTAAATTTTGCAGTATCCATAGATCATATTGCAAAAGCGTTCACACGAGGTAGCGCGCGTTAGCCCGTTACGCCACAGTGCACTTAATTACATATATATATATAAATATATATATATAAATATATATATATATATATATATATATATATATATATATATAGTAATTAAGTGCACTGTGGCGTAACGGGCTAAAGCGCGCTACCTCGTGTGAACGCTTTTGCAATATGATGGGGCAACAGCGATATCCATTTCCACTTTTAAATATAGATTGAAAATACGTTTCCATTTAAAAATAAGCCCATTTCAAGCAATGCGGTGAGAAACCGCAATAGGAAATCTATCACACTATTCTTCCCTGAATCGAATTGCAGTGTAACCAATCTCACGGACCTTCCCTACGGCAGTAATTAACATTATTTTTTATTTATCTTGGGAAACATTATAGGTAGTTTTGTAGGCACGTATGTATTTTTGAAACTTGCAGTCATAATAATTTAAGAAAATTGAACCAATACATTAAGAAATAAGTGTTAGCATTGTATAACCCCCGATGAAATTAATTTTTTTCATGTAAAATTGAGCTTTTCATTAGCTCAAGAAATCTCAGTCAAAATTCAGTCAAAAACGTTCACTGACAGAAATCGAGATGAAAAATGATGTAATTAATATAACAATTTATACGAAATAGGGGTTTGTTGAACAAAGGAGTAAATTTAGGGTTGTATGTGTTTTTTTTTTAGATATGCATAATTTTTTTTTTTTATTTTTTATTTTATTTTCATTCTGCAATCTATAAAAATAATTATATTTAGCAGAGAATGCTGACAAGTGTTTACAATTGGTTGTTTACAAATTAGTACATACGCCCAGTGGTGTATCTACTATAGTTAATATATAAAAAAGAAAAAACTAAAGACAAATATAGAGAAAAAAATATAAATATAAAAATAAACTATAATAAATCTCGAGGTATTTTCCTTTTGAGCCTGGTCGGCTGGCCTTCCTGGTATAAGTTGCATACTAGTTGGTTTGGATGTGCGTCAATTCTATTCTTATAATTACAGGCAAACATTGATATATGTTCTTGAATTGTAGGTATACCCGTGTCTTTATGGAGAATCCATGTTGGCGTGTAGTGAGGAGCGTTTAATATTTGCCGCAGGAATTTGTTTTGTGCTCGTTGTATTATGTTTAAATTGCTCTTTTTAGCAGTACCCCAAAGTTGTAATCCGTAGGTCCACACGGGTTTGATCACGGCCTTATATATAAGTAATTTGTTGTAAGTTGATAATTCTGATTTTCTGTTTAGGAGCCAATAATAATTTTTGAAGATTAGATCTATTTGTTGTTTTTTGTTCTTTATGTGTACTTTCCAGTTGAGTTTCCTATCTAAGTGAATGCCGAGATACTTTATTGATTCTTTGGACGGAATAATTTCATTGTTGAGTATGCATAAAAAATAAAAATTAAAAAAAAAGTTCTTCGGAGTGGCCAACCCTTACCTTGGTTTCAACCAAAAGGAATATACCTAATAGATTCCCACATATTCATGGTGATTGGATGTATTATGAATTAATAACACTTACTCACGTACAAACACAGAAATACATCCATTTTATATTAAACAATTAATATATATATATATATATATATATATATATATATAATAGATTTATGAAACAAATAAGGTCTTTTGAAGTTAGTATCATCACCGGATTATTCTTATTGTTATGAAATTATAAAAAGTTTATGAACAGTTGATATTTTATGTAAAACTAGCTGTACCCACACATTCACAATTTGCCGTGTTTTACTATCAATTAAAAATTTGAACAAATATGCATATCTTTTGTCCTATCCAGCAATTTACCGCTCGAACAAGAATCCAAAAAGTAATAAAAAACAAAAAACAAGTTTTTTAATAAACTATTTATTTATTCATTTATTTATTTATTTGTTTACTGTCGACGTTTCGGAACTAGGTACGTTCCATCTTCAGGACATCTGTCAAGAAACATGATCTTTATGAGATTTAAGCAAACAATATGTTTAAGAAAAGAAAACGGATTTTTTAATTAATAAATTAGTTGAAAAAATAATAATGTACAGAAATATGATAATATGATTAAAATGAAAATGATAAAAATAAATGAGTGGATTATATAACAGGATATTAAAAATGATAAAATTTTTTTTGAAAGTTATGGAAAATTTTAAGAAAAGGTTAATGACAAAATTAAATTAATTACCAGTATGTATGAATATACGTTAGCACTTTTTCACTAAAAAAGATTTTAACAAAAATTAAATTTATGAGTTATTTTTCAGACGAATAGGTAAGTTTTGTAAATCAAAATTACTATAAGTTCTGTCTTTTTTAAAATTATGATTTGAAAACACAAATAATATTATTCTCTCGATGTTATGAGATCGGCTGTTTGTAATAAACTGATTCTGAGTCACACGCACACGTGTGACCACTTGAGAACTGTAAGGATATGTGTGTGTGTTTTTATATGTTTGGATGATATTTTCAAACATTCCACTCGATCGGGAATAAGTGTCATTATCAACCATTGCAGTTTACATTTTTTAATTGTTTTATCGCCAAAATTTAAGCAGTATTTTTTAAAACAAACATTGATGTTAATTTAAAAAATCAACAATTCAAAGTGGATAGTTTTGGAATAATATGTAGAATTATATTCCACTACTGTCTGGCTGTTGTTCGGGTTAGGTCTCTTAAATCAAGATTGCGATTGGAATTAACGTTTTTTATTGACATTTTGGATTAAACCATCTTATACAAATTTATTTGTCATTTGGTAATGCAAAAATATTGAATCATATAATGATACAAAAATGTATGAGGTTAACGACAGTTCATCATCCATCTCATATGTTGACACTGGATATTGGCACATTTATTCAATATTATTATGAAAATTTATTAAATATTATGGTTTTGAATTGTCATTATACGCCCTGAATTCATATATAGTTAAATATTTCGTTTGTTCGCTTCAAAAACAGTCGTATATGTGACCCTCCCACACTAGGAAAATGACATAGCTGGCGGGTGTTGCTCAAGAACTAAGCCCTAGTAGCAACGAATATGATCTGAATATGTTTTTACGTAAGCTAAATATGGTTTTCAAATATTGAGTCCATATGATTTTGTTAACTTTCGGTCATATTCCGCTCAGATTCGTAATGAGGGACGAATGCGGGAATATGATATTTAGCTTATATGATTTGCTTAACATTTTTTCATATTACGCTCATATTCCGAATGTAAGGAGAATATGTAGAAATAATATTTATAACATATTGAAAAACATATATAAACCATATTCAAAATTATTGACCCTATATTCTGAAATATTAAATATTAATTAATTAATATTGAGCAAACACCATTAATATAATTTTTTTTATGTATTCTGAGTAAATATGTACATTTTTTAAATAGTCAATATATTGAATTTTATCAATTTTATTACAATTTTTAAATCATTTTTCATGATTATAGGATATATAATATTTAAAATATATTTAGTATCTATAATATAACATTACATACTAAATATATTTTAAATATTATATATATTTAAAATATATTTAGTATCTATAATATAACATTTTGCGCCATAATTAATTTTATTACAGTCTACATATTATTTTTCATTATTATAGTATATAAAATATTAAAAATATATTTAATATTTATGATACAACTTTTCGTGCCATAATTAATGTTTGTTTGTGTATAATTACTAATCATTTTAGATATTAAGAGTCCACTTGTCTGTTCACTTGATTTTCCATGTTAGTGAGGTTATAACAAATTATTATTTCATATTATACACCATTGATTCTATTAATCACTACAATTTCACACACCAAGTTTCGTTTTTAATTTCTGAAATTTGCTAGGCTAGTGAGTCAAAAATCAGAGTCGCAATCTCTGTCGAACATCTTACGATATGTAATAGTTTAAAAAAAACATAAATTTAATAATTTTGGTTAATAAATCGTTACCGAATTTGTATACATAACTGATGTACACATAACGGTATATATTTGGCCATATAGTCCAGTCATTTGGTCGTTTTGCCGGTACAGTACTCCGGGAATTCTGAAAATTTGTTATCTTATAGATTTTGAGGTGCTCTTTACGAAAATCAACTTTGCCACCTCAAATTTGAATGGCAAGTTGCCGCCATATAGGAAAAATGGCGTCAAAAAACAGCTTTTTTAAAATATCTCCTTTCTGGCTGATTCTACGATAAAAGTATCTATGTACGAATTAAACTAGATAAAATTTCCTACAATTCCTTAAAAACCGTTTTTGTGTAACATTGATAGTTTGTGAGTACGGCCACCTCAAATTCTTTGCTGCTCTCGCCGTAGTATCAAATCTGTCCATATATGACCGCACTTTCAACTTGATCACATTCTTTCTAATAAATAAATATTTTCAATGTTAAATTAAGCGAATAAGATCTAGAAATAAAATAATTCAAATGTTTTTCTGTTTTTTTGCTAATTTTTTAGGCAATGGCAATGGAAAAGTAGCTATAAGTAAGTAGCATGAAGTGTTAAAAAATCAGCAAAAAACAGAAAAATATTTGAATTATTTTATTTCTAGATCTTATTCGCTTAATTTAACATTGAAAATATTTATTTATTAGAAAGAATGTGGTCAAATTCAAAGTGCTGTCATATATGAACAGATTTGATACTACGGCAAAGCAGCAAAGACTTTGAAGCGGCCGTACTCTCAAATTATCAATTTT